CGACCCCACACGTCCCTGCGCAAACGCCCGTATCCCCGGGTGTCGACGACATGTCCGGTCTAGCCGACATCGAAGACGCCGGGCAACCGCCCTCCCCTTCCCGTCAGTCAACACTTTCTCAGCACTGTACCCCACGGGGGTACTCGCGGGTCACAGCCTGCGCGTATCGAGCGCCGGCCGCGCACGTACATCTCTCCGCTGGGGCGCCGCAGCGGCCGCGGACGGCACGCCTGAGCAGCATCTCCTGGGAGTTGGCGCCGTGTTTGTTCATGACTTTTTCCCATGCTGGGTTCCTGCTACCCCACGGCGAACCGCTTTCGGCTTCAGCATTCTTTCGGTCGCCGGGCGACACCACCCCCACTCGCGGTACCCGTGGGACGCTTCCGACGAACGCCGCGCGCCGCACGCTGCAAGTCAGCGCGGCCCCCTCGGGCTCGCCTTGCCTCCTGTGACGTGGCCGGGGCGCGCCTTTACGCCCGATTGGGGGAGCAAAGGAGGGCCTAGTGGCCGGACCGAGGGGCCCTGTCCCCGGCCGGGACCTCCGTCGCCGCGCTGGTCGGTCGCGCAACCGCGTGAGCGCTTGACCCGGGGCCCCCCCCCGGCCGACCATCCGAACACGGAGCGGAGCCACGTTTGTTGCGCGAGGCCGGGCGCACTGCTCGCGCAGACTACCCCGCTTAACACTCCCGTCAGACGACGTGCGGCGGAAGCGTCCCGCGCGCCTCGTCGAGCCGAGGGCAGCTACCCGCCAGGACCGGGCCGCTGCCGCCGCCACCGAGATCTATGCCCCGCTAGACCCTAGCAACCGTCGCAGAATCCGGACTGTACAGGCTTGCGGCTCGGCCCGCCCGAGAGCTCCCCGACTAAGGCGGGGGCGGCGCTGGCACAATCGGGGCGCCGCCGGCTACATTCCGCGGGCGCTGGAGGCTCGACAGCCGGCAACCCCTTGGCACCGCGGCTTGGCGACGCGGCAGCCGACGATGTGGTAGGGATTCACGCAGCGCCGCGGACCGCGCCAGTGCTCCGCACGCGCGGGCTCGCGCGGTCCTCCCGGCCGCCGTCGCTGAGAACAACGCCTGGACAAGTGTCTCACTGGCATACTCCTGTGCGTCGTTACCTGCTGGATACCGGCATCGGCTCGCAGGGCTGGCCTGGCGCTGATGGCCGCGGAGTGCGCCGTCGCCGTCGGGCGTCGCTTTCCGGTCCACACGCGCTTCCGCCGTAACTGACCGACACGGAGACGCTGTCGCGTCGGCGCCAGTGTCTCATACACAGACTATCAGAGGAAGACCGCCGGCCCGTTGTACGCCCGCTAACGTTAGGCGTCCTGATGCAAGCAGCCAGCCCTCAGCAGCAGGGGAGGGATGGGCGAGACAGAGATGGCGGGGGGGGGCGGCATTGCTATGTGTGTATCACCTGCAGGCTGTGTGTGATACAGGTGTAGCAGGGTAACGACGCCGGCGGGGAGGTGGGAGCTGGCGGGGATGAGTGATCCGGTAGGTAGGTGGGAGCTGGAGGAGAGGTAGGGAGACCCGGTAAGGGGGAGCGGAGACCTGGCAGGGAATTGGGAGCTGATGGGAAGGTGGTAGCTGGCGGGGAATCGGGAGCCGGTGGGGAGGTGGGAGCCGGTGGTGAGGTGGGAGCCGGTGGGGAGGTGGGACCCGGCGGGGATGCGATGGGGCCCGGCAGGGATGCGATGGAACCCGGCGGGGATGAGATGGGGCCCGGCGGGGATGCGATGGGGCCCGGCGGGAAAGCGATCGAGCCCGGCAGAGATGCGATGGGGACCGGCGGGGATAGTCGGCGGTGCAGCGCGGACAGCAGCAGGGTATTGACGACGCCGTAAGCGAAGAACATTACCCAGACTGCATCGCTGAACGGCGAGAACACGCTGAGAGCCTCGACGACGGCCGGTGGGGAGCGGACGATGAACGCAGTGACGCTGTAGATGACAGTCTCTAGGAAGCTGACGCGTGGCATCTGGATGACGTTACACGACAAGTCGTAGGTGGAGTCTAGGATGTCTCGCGACACGCCCGCCTGGCCGCCGTCCCCGCACACGTAGTGCGGCGAGTACGTGAAGTTGTAGAAGGCGGAGAGGGTGGAGACAACGTGCACGAACACCCTGATCATGCGATCGTCCTGGTCGGGCGTCGACGAACAGTTGAAGAAGCTCACGCTGAGGTGAGCGCCATCTAGGCTCGACGACGACGACGCGGTGGTGGCAGGGCGGTCGCCACGCCCGCACGTCGCCGCGGGGGCGCCACCGTTGCACGGCGCGGCGGCGGCGTAGCGCAGGGGCGTGATGACGGCGTTGGATCCCCGGCTCTCGCATGCAGCTAGCACCAGCAGCAGCAACAGATACGTGATCTCTCTCCCTGTCATCGTCACAGTGGCGGCTGGTGGGGGCGATGGCGGCTCACTCACAGTAAACACACACACGTCGTCTTACTCCTTATGAGATCACGTCAACCTGCGAGCAGGAGGAGGAGGAGGAGGAGGAGGAGGAGGAGGAGGAAGAGGAGGAGGAGAAGGATGAAGAGAAGGAGAAGAATGACGAGGAGGATGAAGAGAGAAGGGAGGAGTACTAAGGAGATGCAGGAAGGTGGTGAGCTGTATAGTTAGCGACACTGTCACCCTCTCTCACTCGGCGTCAGCGCGGATGTGGCAAGGCTCTCTCGCTGCAGCTGCGATGACTACACAACCACCACTCAGCTATCCTTGCTGTCGCCAAATGAAGCTCTAATGAAACGCGTGCAGAACAACAGCTTTGCACGCGTATCCGTCTGTTTGTCCGCCGCCGCCACTCAGCATGTATTGATAACGTTGACCCAATGCAAGGCATTGAAATGTGGTGATGGTTATTGACGCGCGCCTGCACAAACACACGATGCGCTCGCACAAACTAAGCTGTCATTGTTTCTGTGGGGCGACGCAGGCAATTTCATCACGATATATACGGCTTTCACGGCGGAAATAGTTGTTTTGTTTTGATGCTGTAGTCCAGGAACACATAATGATGTATGTGTGCACACGTGCACGCACGCTCGCCTGCACACATAACCTCACTTTCTCTTATGTGTCGATGTATTTGTCGTGCCAATGAGTCTTGTAAGTTGACAATGGGGCGGCAGCACTGGTAGCACACAAACGAGCATGACCAAACAGTCTGTCTGTTCATCGGTCCCTAGCGGATAAAAGAACGATTAGCAAAACGGCAGTCGCTGGCCATCAATCGATCACCGAACCGAACGTCGGCCGGTACTGGTGGCGACCCTGCGGCAGAGATGCGCACAGCACTTATTTCTGAGGACAACTGTAGTGAGGATATCATGAAATCTGTAGTCCGCAGGGTCACTCAGTGACGCAGTAGGCTAGGGGGTTCGGGGCATGCCGCTCATCCGAAATTTTTTTGATTCGCAGATGCAATTGTCCTGCATTCTGGGACGCCAAAATGACAATAAGTTCCACACTGATATTTGCTGGGCAAATACATGTAGTATTTTCATCAATCGTTTATATCAATGTAAGCACTGAAACAAAACACACTTGAAATATCATCAAAATTATATTTTTTTCGATCGTAATAAAAATCGTAGTTGTATGCCAACTGGTCCGTGAGTGGTCAAAATGGCGAACGGAAATTCGGCCATATCTAGTGCCGGGCGGAGCGACAGCGCTCATGTAACGTCTAACTGGGCGGTGACTCTGTGGTAATTAAGTATTTAATATGTGATGACGTGAATATAACTTAAGATTACATTTTGTTTGATATATTCAAACCTTGCAAATCCTTTCATCGGAGCTTAAACCAAGCTATTTTCAAGCCCTGATATTATATACTTGTCGGTACAGCTGTAGATCAAGCAGTTCTGTTATGATCATAGCACAAGATTTGGCATTAGGTGCTCTCAGGCGCTAATCAGTTTGGCCAGAACACCACCCACCTTACTTACTTATAATATGTATACGCTATACAGCTTAAAATTAACACATAACTATATTTTGGCAATGCCTTTTTTGAGGGTACACAAAGGGGTCAATAGTTTTTACATGACTGTTTTGCTGGAATTTTATATATATATATATATATATATATATATATATATATATATATATATACGATCCAGCTCCTTTCATGTGTCTTAATTAGCTTCTTACCTTGCTAGCAACACACAATCCACACCGAGCTATGGTCCCCTCTACAAGAACATCCGATGGCTGAAATCAATAAGAACAATATCATATTAGTAACATGCATAGTGGTTATGTGTTGTGCATGAAACTCCTTGGTAATGGTTACGTATGGTTGGCTATTGGCAAGATGAGTACGCCTTGCCCAAAAGCAGTGTCGACTGATTTCACAGACGCTTTCCTTCAGAGATGTCGGGTTATCCAGACCAGTACCACCCCCACAATACCTATCTGTAAAAGAAATAGTAGGTAATGCTTGATGTAAATGATATAACCTCAACTGCACAACGTATTACTATACAGGGAACAATTGCCAGCCAAAATGGTGCATAGCAATGCTGCTATACCCAAATAAATGTTGCAATAGCATTGATAAATTTTTTTGCAGACAATCACAGTGGCAAATTACAAACCGCAGTGCATGTTGGCGTGTTATCGTTGTCGGCACTGTGACAGCACAGCCTAGCTTAGGACACATAGGCGTAGGACACTAGAGCATACTAGGACACTTAGCAGACACACTAGGACACGCATAGGACACCCTAGGACACCAGGACAAGGCCTAAGGACACACTAGCCTCTGCCCACGCTGCCCGCAGCGTTTAAACAGCGTGCGACGCTTGGCACTCCGCCCGCTCGCCAATGTCGAAGTAAAAATAATATCGGGGCCGGGCTGAGTGAAAGCTAAAGCCTGACTGCCCTATGTTTGGGAGTAAAAATTAATTGTCTAAAACTTTAATCAAAATGTTGGCTTCCTTAAGTTTAATACCAAACATTGATGAATACGAGTTGTAGCGATTGTGGAAGGGCGGCTATCGAACTCCGCCACGAGACATCCTCCTGTTATATTATCAAAGGTCGCCGAAGTAAAGCAGCCCCGCGAGCGGAGAGCGTGCAGCGCCAGCAGCAGCGTGGGCTGTGTATACGTGCTCGGGGCGCGGCATTATTGATTGATGTACGGCGGGGGGGGGGGGGAGTGCAGCGATTGTTTAAAAAGTCACGTTGGCCGTGGTGGTTAACAAATCAATAAAATCGCGCGTAACGTGCATTCTATTGACGCCGGCAAGCAGCCCGAGAATAAAAGTAAATTGTAAACTTGCTAGTGTTTTCCGTTTACAGTCGCGAGGGCTCATCGCCAAACTGCCGATCATCAAAAAAATATCGTAGCAAATGGCTTGAAAATACATCGGCGAATTGGCGATGGCGATACGCGGAAAATTATTCCCTGTACCTACTATTAAATCTTTAATTGCACAGAATTCAAATACAAATACATGTACTGAAGACAGTCTTACTTTCAACTTAATTGACTGAAGTAAATACAGGAGCAGCATTTTACTACAGTATTTTAAAACAATCAAAAACGACCACACATATTATAAACCAAACTACAATATCCATACTAAAAAATCGATTTCGGATTACCCCCCCACGTCCCGAATATCGTGACCGTACGTCGAGCGGTTAAGATTTGTGCCCAAACTGTTGACGCAACGGACGCACGGCCGGACGCACGCACGCTCATGCGATTCTACAAGCTGCATCTGACTATGTCAGATGAGCTAAAAGCAAATAAGGCAACAGAAAAATCAAAACCAATATTAAAGCACTAACCATGCAGCCATCAATTAGTTGACAAATTCTGGCATTAATCATTACACATACCTTAACAGGCTTAATCTTATGCATGGCCCCTATCAGTTGTATTGTAGTCTTGTCTGCTGGGTAAAATGATAGTTTTGTCACATTAGAAATGTCTTTTTAAGTGCACTACCAAGGATTTATGATGAAGGCAGTCAGAATGTAGTAGAAGTAACAATAGTCCATATTTTCATTTAAAATAATTTATAATTATAACATTGACCAATTTTTCATTTTGACTGCACATGCTATCCACTGGCAGCAAGAAAGAAGTCGGCACCTGCAGCTACAGCACACACGCGGCCATTGACTATATATATACGACATAGTGCCTAACTCGCCACCGCACGGACGCCACAACTCACCGTTTTCAATAAGTTACAACTCCGGTGTTCCTGCAGGTGACGCCACTTTCCAACTATCGTTGGAATCGCGGAAGACTGCTGAACAAGCTACACCCGCATTTTTGACAATCGGTCCCGCCAGAATGGGCTCAAATCACAGAAATTCCTCAAATATCCATGCGAAACGATCCTTCGAATGCTACTACTGAAGAAGGCGGCAGGGCCAGCTGCGCTGATTAGCAAGTTTAATGTGCAGACAGGATGCGCAACTACGCAACTGACTTGCTGCAGCCAATCAGCGCAGCCGGCCCTGCCGCCTTCTTCATAGTAGCATTCGAAGAATTGTTTCGCATGAATATTTGAGGAATTTCTGTGATTTGAGCGCATTGGCAGGCCGATTGTCAAAAATGGTGGGTGTAGCTGTTCAGGCAGTCTTCCGTGATTCCAACAATAGTTGAAAGTGGCGTCACCTGCAGGAACACCGGAGTTGTAACTGATTGAAATGGCGAGTTTGTGGTCCGTGCGGCGGCGAGTTAGGCACCATGTTGTTATATATAGTCAATGGCCGCGTGTGTGCTGTAGCGCAGGTGCGGACTTGTTCTTGCTGCAGTGATGCTATCTAATACTAATAGTAATACTATTACTAATAACATTTCGGAGTCAGGTCATAGCAGATGGCTAGTTGTTGTAGATTTATTTCTGTATTGTCTTCTGTGCATATTGATATTCATATTGAGCATTTGCACCATAACGAAAACATGTAAGGCCATGATAATAATTATGTATCACATATATAATTCCCCTTGCCATAAAAAAGTGCAATAACATTTTTTGCAAGCTGGGCAATTGTAAGAAAGGGTTTTTTTTTTGTAAGCTGGGCACGTAGTTTTTACCATTGCCATGACCGCAAACGAGCTAATGAGTAATGACATGTCCCGAGACTGGACAGAACTGGCGTGTCCCAATTCTCAGCGAAATACGCCAATTTGTCCACCATGTCCATGTTGTACCCAAACTTGGAATCTGCACAATCTCAAGATTGTGCAGTGATTGTGCTGCCCAAACTGCGGATTCCCTAGTTTGGCTGACCAATCTCAAGATTGGGCAAACTGAAAACAGTCGGTGATTCAACAACCGCTCATAGCGAGTGTGTGGTGTGCGTGTGGCAAACAAAAGATCATATACAAATTAAGATGGGACACTTGACCATATATGTTGGGTGCACGCGGCGACACTAGCCCGCCGACGACAATCGGTGAGTTAGGGTCACGAACGGAAATTGCCATGAGAAAGTAATGGCAATATTGCCAAATGCATTTTTGGCGGGAAACATCAGTGAGCATGATACATGCCATATTTATAATGGTCAGAAGGAACTATGGCGGACACTCAGGAGAGGGACTTTTTCTCCCCCAGCCAGGAGCTGTTTCATTTGCTTGCACTTTACTGGAATTAGAATTTAGGAGACGTATATCAAAGGTTAGGCCTATGCACATAGAGTAAGGTGCGCAGCCTTCTCATCCTCACTTATTACAGACAGCACAGTCCACTAGCGTGTGCAAATAAAGTATGCAAAGCAAGAATTAATAACAAGCTTGTTTGTAATTATCCGCTCCATCACGTTCTCCGTTGAGAACAATTGTATGTTTGTATCAGTTATGGTAAGCAGAAGAACCGCAAATTGCTTCAGCGCCGTGTAATGCGCAAAATAATTGTGTTTGTTGTTTGTTGAACCTTAACACGCGCAGTCCGTGTGCACTGGGGATGCAAGGCATGTCCTTGTTATCATTCTGTAGCGTGTGTTAGCGAGATATGGTTTAATTGCTATAGTTAAAATGATGATAAATAGTAGCCATACTATATAGTAATTGTTAGTGAATAATACTTGCGATGAGACGCAATTCGCTGCCGTATGTTTTTTTCTTGTTTCTATACCCACAACGAAACACTTATTCCTCCCTCTCTATATAAATTGCAAACTATTTTTAATTATAATCCGAATTTGTAATGCTGATCTTATTCAATTTGTTATCAATTCTTCATTATTCAGTACTTGCAATATAACTTTGCATTTCATTCAGGTGGCACAAATATTGACTATACTTTGCTACTGCACCAGAATATTCTACCGGGGTTTGAGGTGGCCTAATTATATTATATTGCAACGTCGTTACACTGACGTGTTATATGAACGGTTACACTGCGCATGCGACTATTGCTATGCACAAGGGGGCATGTAACGTACTCGTGCCCATAAATACTGCTCTGCTAATAACATGCAAGCTTTTCAAATTAAGCCCGGGTAGAATTCGCTAACACCCAAGCGTGTGGACTGGCTGATATTCTATGTTGTCATATATAATATGGGAAGGGTGGCATGAAAGGTCCGACGTCGGACTATACCACACTTTTTTCAAACGAGCCCAGTGCCAACCACAAAACTTCTGTTAATCCCTTATATTCTTGGGACGCATTCAACACATAACATGATAAACTTTAATCTCAAAATACGGAATTGCACCAGTGCATTTACTGTTTGTCTTTGAACGCAGCTTGCCGAAAGTTCATCCAACAAACCGCGCCACAATCAAAAATTCGCAAAACCCTCCGTCTCAACATCCGACGCCCACTTATCCTCTGATTCAGTTGCATACGGACGTACGAGTATTAGCACACTGACTAGATAGGGTCGCGATTTCAAATTACGGCTCTGCAAAACGTCAACACGCCGCCTTTTCGCCGATAATACTTCTATATTCCACACTTTCAAGAGCACCATTTGTTCAATCTTACCCAGGTCTGTTTAATGTCATATAACAGCGTCAATCATATACCGAAATACATGCACTTTCTTGCGGGTGGCAGCCATTTTTGAGAATTTCTGACGTCATAATTCAACCAATGAGCGTACCTCCGCAGGTTTGTTGCGCAGGTTATGAATTCATGACGTCAGCCAATATGGCGGTCGATGGTTGATGACACGGTTTTGGATTTTTGATTTGTTGCGCGGTGTGTGGATGAAAGCTTATCGGGCAGCGTGGTTCAAAAGACCAAACGTAAATGACTGGTGGCGAATTCAGATTTTTGAGATAAAAGTTTATACATGTTATGTTGTTGAATGCGCCCAAAGAATAAAGGGATTAACACGAGTTTTTTTGTGGTTGCACTGGGTGTCGTTTGAAAAGTGTGGTATAGTCGCGACGTCTGGGACTTTCATGCCACGCCTTCCCTTATATATAGCAACATAGATATAGCGCAGTCCACTGGGTAGTTAGGCGAATTCTACTCCGTGTTAGACTTTGAAAGCTTTAGCATGTTATTATGAGAGCATACTTTATGGGCAGCGGAGTACGTTAGGATGCCCCTGTGTCTGATGTTGCCACTACGAACCGTACCCTGCTTAAAACATGTATTTATTCGCCGTCGTCTAGTACGGCTAAGTTAACACTGTATCGTCAGATTTCTGTGGCAAGCTACCTATAGCAATGAAGCCTATGAGATAAAAAATGCTTTGAACATCTATTTAGAATAAATCCATGAGTTTGTTTTTTACTCGAGCATCTTCGAGTGTCGTCTGCATATATTCTAACTGTTGTTAGCAGTCAGCTGCGTAAGCTGCGGACCCTAACTCGCCGTTGGTCGGCGCTAGGTGCTCGCTCGGCGTGGCGACATCGAAACTGTATGGCAAGCATAAGCCTTATCGCCAATCGGAACAGCATATTGCGTCATGGATAGGAAAAAGGGGCATTACTAGCGCCGCCCGCCGGCCGACGACGGTTAGAGCGCACCGGCTGCACCACGTCATGTAATGCATTGCCGGCAGATACACGTTCGCCGATATATTTGCGTAATTACTATTAGACTAATCGTGCTTCAAAAATTGAAGAATTTTACAGAGATTTAGCTAAGACATGTGTTCATATATTCATCTAAATTTTCTAGAAATGTTAACTCAACTCGTTAGCCAGATATGATAGTTTAGTAATCCTTTCCTATCACCCAAGCGTTCGTATAGGCCGCGTGCACGCCATTAGGCCTATTGCGCCGATACCGTTCGCATATATTGGCTTAATTAATTAGACTAATCGTGCTTCAACAAACTGAACATTAACAGACATTATAGGCTAAGACATGTGTCTATATTCCTTATAAATTTTCAGAAATGTAACTCAACTCCTTTTGAAGCATATAATAGTTAGTATCCTTTTTTATCACCCAAGCCGTGCGTATAGCCGGTCACGCAATAGGCGCCTATGCGCGATACCGGTTGCCATATATTTTGGTAATTAATTAGACTAATCGTTGCTTGCAACAAACTGAAATTAACAAGACATTATAGCTAAGACATTTGTCTATATTTCGCGTATGATTCCAAGAAATTTAAACTCAACTCCTTGGAAGATATAAATAGTTAGTAATTCGCTTTGTCGATCACCCAACCGCTGCGTATAGCGGGTGGGCACGCAATAGGCCCGGCACTATGCGCGATACCGTTCGCGATATATTTGGTAATTAATTTAGACTAATCGTGCTTCAACCAAACTGAAAATTAACCAGACATTTGTATAGCTTAAGACATTTGTCTATATTCCCGTATGATTTGCCAGAAATTTAACTCAAACTCTTTGGAAGATATAATAGTTAAGTATCCTTTTTCTATCACCCAAGCCGCTGCGTTATCAGCCGCGGTGCAAAACGCAATCAGGCGCTCCTATGGCGCATTACCCGTTCCCATATATTTGTAATTTTAATTAGACTAATCTGTGCTTCAACAAAACGAAAATTAACAGAACATTATAGCTAAGACATTTGTCTATATTCCTTATGATTTTCCAGAAATGTACTACATCTCCTTTTGGAAAGTATATAATAGTTAGTATCCTTTTCTATCACCCAAGCCATCTCGTGCGTATAGGCGCGGTGCAGCGCAAATCGGCGCGCTATGCGCCGATACCGTTCGCCAATATATTTGGTTAATATATTAGACTAATCGTGCCTTCAACAAACTGAAAATTAACAAGAGCAATTATAGCTAAGACATTTGTCTATATTCCTTATAATTTTTTAGAAATGTAACTCAACTCGCTTGCAAAGATATAATAGTTAGTATCCTTTCCTATCACCCATGAGCCGTGCGTATCTAGCGCCGTGCACGCGCAATAACGCGCGCCTATGCGCGATACCGTTGCGCATAATATTGTAATTAATTAGACTCAGCTACTCGTACTTCAACAAACTTAAAAATTTACAGACGATTATAGCCTAAGAAATGTGTCTATATTCCTTATGAATTTCTAGAAATGCAACTCAACCTCGTTTGCGAGATATAATAGTTAGTAATTTCCGCCATTTCCTATCACCCATAGGCCGCTGGCGTACATAGCCGGCTGCAGCGCAATAGCGCCGCCTATGCGCCTATAGCTTGGTTCGCATTTATTTAGTAATAATTAGATAGTCGTGCTTCAAAAACTGCAAAATTTACAGAGATTAATAGCTAAGGACATGTGTCTATATTTCCTCTAGATTTCTAGACATGGTAACTCAAACTCGTTGTGCGAGATATAATAGTTAGTTACCCTTTCTTCACCATAGCCGTGCGCTATATTATCTGATGAGCGCCGATCGTTGCCTGGCCTTTTCCATCCCATCATGCTTGCGGCGGGGCGCCATCTGGTGATATTTAGACGATTGGCCGATAAGGCTTATGCGGCTTGTCCCATCTTAATTGTAATATGATCTTTGGTGGCAAACGTAGGAAGAGATCTTAATCTCATATTTATCCAATTATTTATTATAATCATTTAATATTTATACAAAGGTGCCAAACACATTGAGGAAAGAAGGTATACGACCTTATGATATAACATTTGAAATCCTAATAATCATATGTTTGTGCAAGCTCTGTTTATTTCTGTTTGCCTAATCTCAAGATTGGTTGCCCAAACTGCGGATGCACTGAAATTCCAAGTTTGTGCAAGATTCCAAGTTTGGGCACAACATCCATAACACGCTGGGCGTCCTACTCGGACTCCTCCTACTATGCGGCTCAGTCAAAGCGCAAGTTAGGGCCTACTGCAAATATACGCGCACAAACACCAATGCAAAACGAAAGCCAAATAGGTTACCACTACATGCACGTACTTGATGCAACCGGCAACCTGCAGCTGCTTCCCGCTTCTGTATTCTGTATTCTGTACCGAACGATGTACACGGACCACTGAAGACACGAAAGGTAATTTCCACGTGACCAAAGCACGTGACTACTAACAAAACACACGACTGTATAATACAGTGGCGCCACCTAGGAAAATATAAACATGGATTCCTGTTTATCTGTCGAGAAAGAAATTGATAAAGTTTTATCGAAGTTTAAGACAATTAGTGACCAAACAACAAAGCAATTGGCAGATGTCATAGACTACGTGGAAAAGATTCAAAACGACTTATCTAATAGTATGTATATTCACTTGTTTGAACGGCTTAAATTTATTGTGAATAGGTCAGGGTACTGGGTAGATACAATAATGACAATGTAACCCAAACGGTAAACCCAAGAGGATAGGGTTACAAAGTGTCCCTATCCTTTTCTGCGGAGGAATGCCCGAGTGAATCACTCGGGCCGGTTTGCTGGTGCGTTTTCAGATACTAGAACTTCCAAACTGGGTTTATTCTCAACACGAACCTTTCTCCGCTATCTGGGAACTTACTATGTACGCAGTGGCTGGAGGTACGGTAGCCGTCGGTCGTTCAAGCCCCTTTTTTGCGTTAGGGTTAGGGTTAGGGTTAGGATTAGGGTTAGGGTTAGGTTTAGGGTTATGGTTAGGGTTAGGTTTAGGGTTAGGGAAAAAATAATACATACTAAAGAGGTAAGTAAAGGGAAAAAAGGAAAAAAGGAAATCTAACTATCTATCTATCCATGCATGCATGCATGCATCCATCCCATTGCATACATGGGTGTATGCAGGGGGGGAGGGGGTCGTGAGGGTCGTACGACCCCACAAAATTTCAAAAGGTCCACATTTTTTCCAAAGACATTTTTTTTCGAGGGCCTTTTCACAATGACATAAATGAAAAAGCATAATTGATCAGGTACCAGCAATGAGTCCAAAGACCTTGCCAATTGCGTGACGTAAATCTATTCCAATTCCAGCAATTCTGAAACTGAGCCTTTTTTTGTTTAAAAAAACTGAGTTCAAAAAAGAGAGACAAAGACTCTGACAAAGACAAAGACAAGATCAAGACAAGACAAGATCAAGACAAAGACAACACAAAGAGTTCAAAAGACTCTGTTTTCAACTGAAGCAGAAAACTTGTTTAAAAAAACTGATAAAAAAACTTCAAATTTTTGTTTTAAAAAGAATTTTTTTTTTAAACAAAATTTTTTTGTTTCAATTAAATTGTATTGACATTTGAATCACATCTTGCTGTTATTTCATTGTGAAAAGGTCCAAAAAATTATGATCACGACCCACCCAGAAAAAATCCTGGATACACCCCTGGCATGCCATCCCATTGCACCGCATCCCATCCCATCCCATCTCATCACATTCAGTGCCATCCCATGCCATGCCATGCCATGCCATCCCATCCCATCCCATTGCACCGCATCCCATCCCATGCCATCCCATGCCATCCCATCCCATCCCATCCCATCCCAATCAGTAAAAAATGATAAGAAATCAAAAGATAAACAAGTGCCGCAGCGCAACATGGCTCATCCAGTGTCTGGTGTTCTGCTGATAAATTCATTTGTACATAGCAAGACGTCTATACATAAGTCTTCTTTATTCTTGTTTGACTTTCGTAGCCAATTCGAACAAATATATCAGCTACACTTTCGCACCCACCTAATCTCTATGGGCTAATTCTAATAACAAGAACAATAATAACAATTCAAATACAAGTTAATGAATGACATTGACGTTGACATAAAATATTTCAACATATGAGCATGGATCTCCAAGTTTAATTAGAGGGAGCGGGGGGTCCTTCTCTCCCACCTCCCTTCCCACTGCGTCCCACCTCCCTCCCTCCTGCCTCCCACTTCACTCCTCTTGCCTCTCACTTCCACCCTTTACTCCAGTCTCTTCCCCTTGCCTCGCCACCCCGCATCCCTTGCCAACCATCTCGCACGACCTAATTGTACCCCGGTTCTCGCGCTCGGCATACACACCCGTAGTCACGCGCGTTGTTCATGTGCGGCCGTCTTGCAAATTTACTACCTCTCTCTCTCTCTCTCTCTCTTTATCTTAGACTTTCTCTCTCTCTCTCTTAATATATAATAATGTTAAAAAAAACCAGCCGATGATGCCTTTACTGCCCCCTCAATAATACTTCGTTCCTATGTCCACTGAGTGTAACAGCCATAGAAAGTAATATATATTAGTGTCTCTTAATTTTTCTATGGTAACAGCTTGTTCGCAAACTGGTAAATGGATTACGCGACGGCCATAGCTACATGATATATGTTAAGATTCAAGATGAAAGTAAATATATTATAAAGTATATAAAAGTATATTATATGGTACTAGTTTATTATTTATTCGTTAACAAAGTTACATGAATAAAATCTAATTTAAACTAGGACTATAGTTGCGCGAGATGGCGCGTGCAAGTGTAATCAATAATCAAAGATGGCATCACCCGTTCGTGCGCTGGATAATAACTCACTCCATTGAGTTGCTGAAATCCAAGTATATTCAGGCAGCGGAGAATTTCGCTCACTGGTGCAGTTAACACATCTTCATTGCAGGTTGCCAGGCAATAATTATGATTAGAATAGTGCCAGTTCACCCCCATGCATGCGTAATGGGCTGCCCCATGTTTTTGCCTACCCACGCGAGCATTCAGCGTTCATTACAGTGCTGCTAATACAGGGTGCTAATACAGAGTGCTTTTAGAAAATATTATGATTTAAGGAGCGCCAAATCTTGTCAACAAACATTTGCCTTTGCAATTGAACTTTGCAACTGCAGCCTCACATCCCACAATAGCAAAAGCAGTTCAGTCCGTTTGTAACAGTCAACAAATCCATGTTTAACCCTCCTCTGAGGGTCAAAAGGTTATCCGACACTTACTCTTCGCATGTCAGCGGAAAGTACATTTTATGTCCTTTCAATAAAGCTATAAAAATGAGTCACCGGCTGCAAGAAAAAAAAGTTTTTAAATCGCTCCGTCAGACCATTCTTCATAAAATCGTCTAAAATCTGCCCTGTGCCCATTGACCTTTGACCTGTGACCTCCAATTTCGCCACAGTTGATGGCTTTTCCTACCATGATGCTATACACGACTATCACGAGCCTAGGTCGAGCCGTTTAGATTTGTGCGCAATCTGCATTTCCTCCCTATACCTTAGTTAAAGGACGGAATGTTCCTCCTTCTTTTACACCTCTTGACCTTTAATCTTTGACCGCCCAGCTTCGACATCCCAACTCGTTTTCGGATTTACCCCACGTCCCGAATATCGCTACCGCTACGTCGAGCCGTTAGATTTGTGCAACTGTTGACGAACGGACGCCACGGCGGACCACGCACGCTTATGCGATTCTAGAAGCTGCATCTGACTATGTCAGATAAGCTAAAAACTGAGTGTGGTGATATGTACATGTTTCTTATTTCACGTTTTGTCTTGAATGGTTCGATGGGTGGTTCCATGGTTGAATGGATGGATAGAAGGATCGATGGGTGGTTCTATGGTTGAATCGATGAATGGATGAATAGAAGAATGGATGGGTGGTTGAATGGATGAATCGAAGGATGGATGGGTGGTTGTATGGTTGAATGGATGAATAGAAGGATGGATGGGTGGTTGTATGGATGGATGGAGTGACAGATGGATGGAGTGACAGATGGATAGATGTTTGATGGATGAGCATGCAGCAGAATAGCAAAGTAATAGGCAGCAGAATCAACAACAGGCAGTCATTGAATAGCAACATTTTTTATTTTTGCAGTGAGAGCTACAGGACGAGAAATAAAACACACTGTGTACACACAAGCTATAATTGAATCGCTAGCCCTAACGAATACTACAACGTTCAATTAAAAAAAGTGCACATCGCCACCACCGCACCTGCGGCCTCGTTACCTTGCTACATCCATCACACACGTCAGTGATACACACATAGCTGCCGCCCCCCCCCCATCTCTCCACCCCCCTCTCCATCCCTCCTGCTGCTGCTGCTGCGCTGCTGCTGCTGCATTCAGACGCCTACGTTAGGGGCGTACACGGCCAGGCGTCTCCTCTGTAGTTCTGTGGTATGAGACACTGCCCGCGGCGCTCCCCCATCAGCCGCCAGCAGCCTGCGACGAGCCTTCCAGCAGGAAACGAAGATTGCGCAGGTGAGACAGACTCAGCTTGTTCTCAGCGACGACGGCGCCGAGGCGCGCACGCGCTGAACCTCAACATCTCCTGCCGCTGCCACAGTGCCAGGATGCCGCTGTCCGCTCAGCGGCCGCGGTCCCGCGTTCAGCGCCCCCTGTGGGGACTCTCGGGGGCGACCACGCAGCCGATTCTCACGTTGTAGTCTACGGGGATGATGCTGAGGCGGCAGCGGCCCGTCTGCCGGTAGTCCTGCGCTCGACGAGGCGCTTCCGGCCAGTCGTGCGATGTAAGCGTAGTCCCCGACATGACGCCCTCCGCAAGACTGCTCCTCGTCTTCGATGGTCGCCCGGGTCAGCGCTCACCTTCGCCACAGCCGCGCCGAAGCTCCGACTGCGGGAGGCTGTCCCGGCCAGCGAGGCTCTCCATGCGCTAGCGCGCCACACGACGGGCACGACGGCGCCCTCTTGCAGCCTCGCGCGCAGGTTCGTGAACGGGCTACGCGATGGTGGTTCGCACGACAGGACGCTGACGAGGGTGCCCGCTGTAGAAGCCCAGCATGACAATTGACAAACAGCCACCAGGGAGATGTGCAGCGTGCGCGCCGCTGCGCCCACCGGTTGTAGTGCCGCCCTGATACGCCAGCGTGCGATCACGTACATCGAGAAGTAGCTGACGAGAGGGAGGCGGTGCCCGCCGCGGGATACGGGAGTTGGCAGGGAGGTGGGTCCGGCGGGAGGTGGGAGCTGCGGGATGAGTGATCCGGTAGGTAGGTGGGAGCTGGAGGAAGGCGTAGGGAGACCCGGTAAGGGGGCGGAGACCTGGCAGGGAATTGGGACCTGACGGGGAGGAGGGAGCTGATGGGAAGGTGGTAGCTGGCGGGGAACGGAGCGCGGGGGCAAGCGTGGGAGCGCGTGGTGAGGTGGGAGCCGGTGGGGAGGCGGAGACCCGGCAATGGATGCCGAGCTGCGGACCGGCGGGCGATGCTGATGGGCCCTGCAGGCCGGGGATGCGATGGAACCGGCGGATGAGATGGGGCCGGCGAGGGGATCGATGAACCCGCGGGGATGCGATGAAACCCCGCGAGGATGCGATGGAACCCGGCGGGGATAGATGCGGCCCCGGCGGGCGATGCGATGGGGCCCGGCGGGAAAGCCGATCGCAGCCCGGCCAGAGATGCGATGGGGCCCGGCGCGGGCAATAGTCGGCGGTGCAGCGCGGACAGCAGCAGGGTATGACGACGCCGTGTAAGCGAAGAACATTACCCAGACTGCATCGCTGAACGGCGAAACACGCTGAGAGCCTCGACCGACGGCCGGTGGGGAGCGGACGATGAAACCGCGTACCTACAGTCTCTAGGAAGCTGACGCTTCGCATCTGGATGACGTTACACGACAAGTCGTAGGTGGAGTCTAGGATGTCTCGCGACACGCCTCGCCTGGCGCCGTCCCGCACACGTAGTGCGGCGAGTACGTGAAGTTGTAGAAGGTGGAGAGGGTGGAGACAACGTGCACGAACACCCTGATCATGCGATCGTCGTGTCGGGCGTCGACGACAGTTGAAGAAGCCACGCTGAGGTTGAGCGCCACTAGGCTCGACGACGACGACCCGGTGGTGGCCGGGCGGTCGCCGCGCCCCGCACGTCGCCGCGGTGGGGCCACCGGTCGCACGGCGCGCGGCGGCGTAGCGCAGGGCGTGATGACGGCGTTGGATCCGCCGCCTCTCGCATGCCAGCCAGCGCCAGCAGCAGCAACAGATACGTGATCTCTCTCCCTGTCATCGTCACAGTGGCGGCTGGTGGGGGGATGGCGGCTCACTCACAGTAAACACACACACGTCGGTCTTACTCCTTATGAGATCACGTCACCTGCGAGCAGGAGGAGGAGGAGGAGGAGAGAGGAGGAGAGAGGAGGAGGAGAGGAGGAGGAGAAGGATGAAGAGAAGGAGAAGAATGACGAGGAGGAGGATGAAGAGAGAAGGGAGAGTACTAAGGAGAGCAGGAAGGTGTGAGCTGTAGTTAGGACACTGTCACCCTCTCTCACTCGGCGTCAGCGCGGATGTGGCAAGGCTCTCTCGCTGCAGCTGCGATGACTAACACAACCACCACTCAGCTATCCTTGCTGTCGCAAATGAAGCTCTAATGAAACGCGTGCAGAACAACAGCTTTGCACGCGTATCGTCTGTGTCCGCCGCCGCACTCAGCATGTATTGATAACGTTGACCCAATGCAAGGCATTGAAATGTGGTGATGGTTATTGACGCGCGCCTGCACAAACACACGATGCGCTCGCACAAACTAGCTGTCATTGTTTCGGTGGGCGACGCAGGCAATTTCATCACGATATATACGGCTTTCACAGCGGGAATAGTTGTTTTGTTTTGATGCTGTAGTCCAGGAACACATAATGATGTATGTGTGCACACGTGCACGCACGCTCGCCTGCACACATAACCTCACTTTCTCTTATGTGTCGATGTATTTGTCGTGGCATGAGTCTGTATTGACAATGGCGCAGCACTGTACACACAACGAGCATGACCAAACAGTTTCTGTTCAATCGCTAGCGGATAAAAAGAACATACAAAACGGCAGTCCTGCCACAATCGATCACACGACGTCGCCGGTACTGATGGCGCCCTGCGGCAGAGATGGCAACACTTTTCTGAGCAAACTGTAGTGAGGATATCTGAAATCTGTAGTCCGAGGGTCACGCAGTGACCCAAGTATGCTAGGGGGTCGGGCATGCCCCCGGAAATTTTTTGATTCCGAGATGCAATTTCCGCATTCTGGACCAAAATGACAATAAGTTCACACTGATATTTGCTGCTAAATACATGTAGTTATTTTCAATCATGTTATATCAATGTAACACTGAAACAAAACACTTGAAATATCATCAAAATTATATTTTTTCGATCGTAATAAAAATCGTAGTTGTATGCAAACTGGTCGTAGTGGTCAAAATGCAAACGAAATTCGCATACAAGTGCCACGGAGCGACAGCGCTCATCTAACGTCTACTGCGGTGACTCTGTGGTAATTAAGTATTTAATATGTGATGACGGAATATAACTTAAGATACATTTTGTTGATATATTCAAACCTTCCAAATCTTTCATCGGACCTTAAACCACTATTTTCAGCCCCTGATATATATATACTTGTCGGTACAGCTGTAAGATCAAGCAGTTTCTGTTATAATCATAGGCACAAGATTTGGCATTTAGGTGCTCTCAGGCACTATCAGTTTGGCCCAGAACACCACCCACCTTACTTACTTATAATATGTATAGCTATACAGCTTAAAATTAACACATAACTATATTTTGCAATGCTTTTTTGAGGTACACAAGGGGTCAATAGTTTTTACATGACTGTTTTGCTGGAATTTATATATATATATATATATATATATATATATATATATATATATATATATACGATCCAGCCCTTTCATGGTGTCTTAATTAGCTTCTTACCTTGCTAGCAACACACAATCCACACCAGCTATGGTCCCCTCTACAAGAACATCCGATGGCTGAAATCAATAAGAACAATATCATATTAGTAACATGCATAGTTGGTTATGTGTTGTGCATGAACTCCTTGGTAATGGTTACGTATGATTGCTATTGCAAGATGAGTACCTTGCCAAAAGCAGTGTCGACTGATTTCACACGCTTTCCTTCCAAGATGTCAGGGTTATCCAGACCAGTACCACCCACAATACCTATCTGAAAAGAAATAGAGGTAATGCTTGATGTAAATGATAATAACCTCAACTGCACAACGTATTATACAGGGAACAATTTCCAGCGCAAAATGTGGCATAGCAAATCCTGCTATACAAAATAAATGTTTGCATTAGCAATTGATAAAATTTTTTTTCAGACAATCACAGTGAAAATTTACACCGCAGTGCATGCTTGGCGTGTTATCGTGTCGGCTGTGACAGCACAGCTAGCTTAGGACACACTAGCCTAGGACACACTAGGACACACTACACTAGACACACTAGGACACACTAGGACACGCTAGGACACACAGGACAAGCCTAGGACACACTAGCGATTCTGCCACGCTGCCGCAGCGTTAAACAGCGTGCGAGCTTGGCACTCGCCCCGCTCGGCCAATGTCGAGTAAAAATAATATCGGCGCGGGCGAGTGAAAGCTAAAGCTGACTCGCCCATGTTGGCGAGTAAAAATAATGTGTCTAAAACTTTAATCAAATGTTGGTCTTCGCTTACGTTATATATCCAAACATTGATGAAATACAGTTCTAGCGCATGGTGAAGGCGGCTATCAACTCCTCGACCCGACATCCTCACTTTATATTATCAAAAGGTCGCGAAGAGAGGCAGCCCGCGAGAGCGTGCAGCGCGCAGCACAGCGTGGCTGTGTATACGTGCCTGGGCGCATATTGATTGATGTACGGGGGGGGGGGGAGTGCAGGATTGTTTAAAAGTCACGTTGGCCGTGTGTGTTAACAAATCAATAAAATCGGCGTAACGTGGCATTTCATTGACGCGGCAAAGCAGCCCGAGAATAAAATAAATTGTAAACTTGTATGTTTCCGTTTACATCTGATGGCTGGCATCGCACAACTGCGATTCATAAAAAAATATGGCCGTAGCAAATGGCTGAAATACATCGCGAATATGCGATGCGATACGGGAAAATTATTCCCTGCTGACTACTATTAAATCTTTATTGCACAGAATTCAAATACAAATACATGTACTGAAGACAGTCTTACTTTCAACTTAATTGACTGAAGTAAATACAGGAGCAGCATTTTACTACAGTATTAAAACAATCAAAAACGACCACACATATTATAAAGCAAACTACAATATCCATACTAAAAAATCGATTTCGGATTACCCCCCACGTCCCGAATATCGTGACGCGTACGTCGAGCGGTTAAGATTTGTGCCCAACTGTTACGCACCCGGACGCACGCACGCTCATACGATTCTACAAGCTGCATCTGACTATGTCAGATGAGCTAAAAAGCAAATAAGGCAACAGAAAAATCAAAACCAATATTAAAGCACTAACCATGCAGCCATCAATTAGTTGACAAATTCTGGCATTAATCATTACACATACCTTAACAGGCTTAATCTTATGCATGGCCCCTATCAGTTGTATTGTAGTCTTGTCTGCTGGGTAAAATGATAGTTTTGTCACATTAGAAATGTCTTTTTAAGTGCACTACCAAGGATTTATGATGAAGGCAGTCAGAATGTAGTAGAAGTAACAATAGTCCATATTTTCATTTAAAATAATTTATAATTATAACCATTGACCAATTTTTCATTTTGACTGCACATGCTATCCACTGGCAGCAAGAACAAGTCGGCACCTGCAGCTACAGCACACACGCGGCCATTGACTATATATAACGACATAGTGCCTAACTCGCCACCGCACGGACCACAACTCACCGTTTTCAATAAGTTACAACTCCGGTGTTCCTGCAGGTGACGCCACTTTCCAACTATCGTTGGAATCGCGGAAGACTGCTGAACAAGCTACACCCGCCATTTTTGACAATCGGTCCGCCAGAATGGGCTCAAATCACAGAAATTCCTCAAATATCCATGCGAAACGATCCTTCGAATGCTACTACTGAAGAAGGCGGCAGGGCCGGCTGCGCTGATTAGCAAGTTTAATGTGCAGACAGGATGCGCAACTACGCAACTGACTTGCTGCAGCCAATCAGCGCAGCCGGCCCTGCCGCCTTCTTCAATAGTAGCATTCGAAGAATTGTTTCGCATGAATATTTGAGGAATTTCTGTGATTTGAGCGCATTCTGGCAGGCCGATTGTCAAAAATGGTGGGTGTAGCTTGTTCAGCAGTCTTCCGTGATTCCAACAATAGTTGGAAAGTGGCGTCACCTGCAGGAACACCGGAGTTGTAACTGATTGAAAATGGCGAGTTGTGGTCCGTGCGGCGGCGAGTTAGGCACCATGTTGTTATATATAGTCAATGGCCGCGTGTGTGCTGTAGCTGCAGGTGCGGACTTGTTCTTGCTGCCAGTGATGCTATCTAATACTAATAGTAATACTATTACTAATAACATTTCGGAGTCAGGTCATAGCAGATGGCTAGTTGTTGTAGATTTATTCTGTATTGTCTTCTGTGCATATTGATATTCATATTGAGCATTTGCACCATACGAAAACATGTAAGGCCATGATAATAATTATGTATCACATATTAAATTCCCCTTGCCATAAAAAAGTGCAATAACATTTTTTGCAAGCTGGGCAATTGGTAAGTAAGGTTTTTTTTTTTGTAAGCTGGGCACGTAGTTTTTACCATTTGCCATGACCGCAACGAGCTAATGAGTAATGACATGTCCCGAGACTGGACAGAACTGGCGGTGTCCAATTCCTCAGCGAAATACGCCAATTTGTCCACCATGTCCATGTTGTACCCAAACTTGGAATCTGCACAATCTCAAGATTGTGCAGTGATTGTGCTGCCCAAACTGCGGATTCCCTAGTTTGGCTGACCAATCTCAAGATTGGGCAAACTGAAAACAGTCGGTGATTCAACAACCGCTCATAGCGAGTGTGTGGTGTGCGTGGTGCAAACTAAGAAGAGATTTATCTCATATTTATCCAATTATTTATTATAATCATTTAATATTTATACAAAGGTGCCAAACACATTGAGGAAAGAAGGTATACGACCTTATGATATAACATTTGAAATCCTAATAATCATATGTTTGTGCAAGCTCTGTTTATTTCTGTTTGCCTAATCTCAAGATTGGTTGCCCAAACTGGCGGATGCACTGAAATTCCAAGTTTGTGCAAGATTCCAAGTTTGGGCACAACATCCATAACACGCTGGGCGTCCTACTCGGACTCCTCCTACTATGCGGCTCAGTCAAAGCGCAAGTTAGGGCCTACTGCAAATATACGCGCACAAACACACAATGCAAAACGAAAGCCAAATAGGTTACCACTACATGCACGTACTTGATGCAACCGGCAACCTGCAGCTGCTTCCCGCTTCTGTATTCTGTACCGAACGATGTACACGGACCACTGAAGACACGAAAGGTAATTTCCACGTGACTACTAACAAAACACACGACTGTATAATACAGTGGCGCCACCTAGGAAAATATAAACATGGATTCCTGTTTATCTGTCGAGAAAAAATTGATAAAGTTTTATCGAAGTTTAAGACAATTAGTGACCAAACAACAAAGCAATTGGCAGATGTCATAGACTACGTGGAAAAGATTCAAAACGACTTATCTAATAGTATGTATATTCACTTGTTTGAACGGCTTAAATTTATTGTGAATAGGTCAGGGTACTGGGTAGATACAATAATGTAACCCAAGCGGTAAACCCAAGAGGATAGGGTTACAAAGTGTCCCTATCCTTTTCTGCGGAGAAATGCCCGAGTGAATCACTCGGGCCGGTTTGCTGGTGCGTTTTCAGATACTAGAACTTCCAAACTGGTTTTATTCTCAACACGAACCTTTCTCCGCTATCTGGGAACTTACTATGTAGCAGTGGCTGGAGGTACGGTAGCCGTCGGCGTTCAAGCCCCTTTTTTGCGTTAGGTTTAGGGTTAGGATTAGGGTTAGGGTTAGTTTAGGGTTATGGTTAGGGTATTTAGGGTTAGGTTAGGGTCTAGCTCATCTAAACTCTCAAATCGTGAATTTATTTCCCAAGGCGTTATTTCGAAATCTAGCGCCACCGCCCGCATCTTTGTCTCGTTAAGTTAGAAAGCGAATGGACTCCCGTACCCGTAGCCTCGAGACATTAAGATACGGCTACCGTACCCGTAGCCACTGCCTACTATGTATCGCAATACTCTGTATTAAACTAATATAACCTGTTTACAAAAATTCGAAGTGACGAGCGGCGAATATACTGAGCGCCATTTCTGTTGACCTGTGACGTACGCATTTCCCAATGCGCATAGCGATCGGCAAACGCAGCGCCCTCGCGATTGGTCGGTGAATCCACTCTTCAAACCAAAGTACGTCACAGGTCAACAGAAATGGCGCTCAGTATATTCGCCGCTCGTCACTTCGAATTTTTGTAACAGGTTATATTAGTTTAATACAGAGTATTGCGATACATAGTAAGTTCCCAGATAGCGGAGAAAAGTTCGTGTTGAGAATAAACCAGTTTGGAAGTTCTAGTATCTGAAAACGCACCAGCAAACGGCGCCGAGTGATTCACTCGGCATTCCTCCGCAGAAAAGGATAGGGACACTTTGTAACCCTATCCTCTTGGGTTTGGGTTACATTATTGTATCTAGGTACTGGGTAGCCCGACCAGGCTGTGATCTGTGTGACCAACGTAACGTCCTGACATAGCCTGACATCCATCTATTGCCATTGGATAATCTTGTACCTCTACAAAAACTGCCGAACAATTACGTATATCTCAAATAAAATAATCATCTAAGCATTTCTGCCTTGTTTTGTATCAAGTATAACCTTCACCTTATATATAGTTATAGTTATAAGTTATAGTATTCCAGCGTTGTTATTATTAATATTATTAAAACTAATACCTCAGTTTGCTGTGCACAGTGTAAATTTCAAGAGCCGAACCTAAATTTCACTTTAACCGCCAACCGCCATGTTTCCACTGCGCATGCGTTTCGATCGGAACGAGGAAAACCCGAAACGACATAACATACCATAGCGTTGCAACTCGCATTGGCGCGAGCATAAATAAGCATCATATACTCGTATCTTACTATAATTTGCCGAATGTTGTATGTATGTATGTATGTATGTTAATGAAAGGCTCCGTCAGTTTGGATCCAAATAGCGCCAAGTTCACACAAGAGATCGATAAATACACGGGACGGGTTCTAAACTATACTCGGTTGAAAACGGTAAAAATATCTTAAAAAATAAAAAAAAAAAATAAAAAAGGTAAACATTTGCCTGAAATAGGGAGCTGTTTTGTTTTTGTTCTGTTTCTATTTCGTTTCGTTCTGTGTATCTGTGTCTGTGTGTCTGAGCTTTTTGTAAGCCCAATAATGTAAGTAGAAATAACCATGTAAACTAATAATTGAAGTTAAACATTCAGTAGCTATTTGGGCATAGTTTCCCATATGAGATGTACAAGTTGAATTTCATCAGAGAAGATTTTTTTTTTGGAAGTCTGCAATGCTGTGTGGGTCCGGGTGTCGTGAACAGCGAGCTGTCACAACGGTCCGATCACAAAGCACGTAATATTACGTCTCCGCACAGAGTCAAACATGCGTAGAAATAAACGATCACAACCACGCAATATTACCTGGTCCGCACACAGTGGAAACATGCGAAGCACGTAATATTACGTGCTACGCAGCCAAGTGGTTAAGCAGTCGCCCGACCTACCAGCCCCATTCAGATCTATCTATATTCTAACTTTGAAGTCCGTATCATCAACCAGTACATAGCATACAATAAAACATTTGTGTGTGTGTGTGTGTGTCTGTGTGCGTGCGTCTGTCTGTATTTCACTGTGTACTTGCCAAACAAATAGTTAATGTGTTACGTGTAAGCATGATTGTACATGTATTTCTATTGACATCTCAACCATAAAAAAACAAACGTGCAACAACTAAACTCTCCATATAACACCTTACACATAACACTACGTACTGGTAACACATGCATCACAGACACTAAGCCCGCGCGTAGCGCGGGTTCCAGCTAGTATATATAAATATTAAAACATTGAAAACCAGGAAACATCAATCTACAACAACTTAATAATTATCATTGCGAAGATATGTACTTGCCTTGTGTTTAGGCCTACGCACTGTGAAAATCAGGTCCATTGCCGATTTTAGTCGCACCGAACATGGCGGACATGGCGGCTGTCTGGTTGTTTTCATCCAATTCATCTCAGAAAATACGGTATAACTCGATAAATAAGTAGCGCCCAGTTACCGCGAGCAAGCCAGAGGTTTATAGATTTGCTTGAGCTATTACATGTGACGCTAGCTGTGGCGATGTTTGGATACCTAACCAACTACAAGTTTTTATGGGCAAGAATTTGAAACGGTATTCTAACCCTAGCAAAGACTAGGACCAATTTCTTGGAGCTAAGGTCAATGCAGTATTATTGCGCAGAATCATTGACATTGTGTGTGAATTTGACTTGTGACTGTCGCGAGTGAATAATAACAAAATTTGTAAATTGGACTAAAGCTTTTGAGGGTAGTCAGGGTTCAACCCAACCATACCCTAACCCCTACCTGCCTCACCCGTTCTCCCTGGATGTTATTCCTTATGGACTGTCTAGTATAAAAGTAGAAGTAACCCCAAGTCCGACGCAATACCAACACTTATTCCTGCTTCTTGCTCTTTGTTTCGACTTCAGTTCCAGAAGAGAATGAACTGAGTGTAGCGCAGTCCCTCATGCTCTCACAGTGCATGAAGAAAGTCAAAGATACATCTGGCAAAGCAGCAGCTGATCATAAGGAGTTACACGGCTCGGTGTCTAAAGTCGGAAAAGCCATCGATCGTGTGAGTATGAATGCACGGACATACACACGCGCGCAAACGAATACACGTGTGCACACACCAGTGCCTATTTATGCACTAACTCATAATTTCTCTGTTCTATCAGGGTTTCTTCTCAGGGAAAATTAGACAAAGGAGGTAATGGCTAGTTTTGGAAAGAACGCGTATGATGGATTCAAAGGCGTGCCGTAGGCACGTACATGCGGACGCTGCAGGCAGATGTGTGGGGAGAGAGGGAGAGGGGGAACTCCCCAAAATTAAAAAAAATTTTAATGTTAAAAAATTGTTATATGTCAGCGTTTTCACAAGGGCGATGTTAAATTTGACAACGGCGGCGCGCCACTGTGCCTCTTATATACAAGAAACCCTGTCTATGCATTGCCACTGCTCTCACGGTGTTGTCTCTTGCAGAACTTCACGCAAGACTTTGGCGTTGTCAACAAAGATGAGACATTCTGTGGTCTGGACCAGCCCGATCTTGTTAATCAGGTCATCTGCCAGCACTTCTTCAGACAGGGAATGTTGGACATTGGCGAAGCACTAATTAGGGTGAATATATTTTGTAACAGGTTTGAAATTCATCACACCACTTAATGCGAGAATATATACATTTTAGATGATTATTTCGATGCGACTTTTGGTGTTATTGCCAGCTCGTTGATAAATTGCTTCTGTATCATTCAGGATCTGGGAGTTTCTGTTAATAACATAATAATGGAGTCAACCATTAGTTTAAGCTTTGAAGTAATTAACCTCACAGAAATTTACCTATCCATCTGAGTGAGATTAGCACCCAGGCCACAATTAAAAAAATCTTTGTTTGTCCTCACCCGACCCAGGCTGAAAAGTTTGGGTATGTAGGTCGGATATTTTTTTTCCTTTTTTGAGGGCGGGGGTCTTTTTACAAATTCAGCGTGGTGTCTACATGCTCGGGTGTGCTTGTGTGGCGATACCTTTTATGTTGAATGTATCTTTTGCTTGGTGCATATAATATATTGCCTACAGATTTATATAATGTACAGTGATACAATTTGTTAAAAAAAAGAAAGAAAAAAAGATCAATGAAAAATTTTGAGTCGGCCCCTTTTTGGCGGGTCGGTCGGGTGAGGGCAAACAAACAATATTTTTATTATGGCCCCAAGCGTTTAATTTTCCTATTGTTGTTATATAAATGTTTGTTTATACCAGTTCACATGTGTTTTTCACTTTTGCATACAAAATGGTCAAATTTGTGGCTCTTTGTTACTAAGCAGCATTCTTACAACACCCGTATAACATTGCTGATTAGCTAGAGCTATTTGTCAATAACTAAAGGCAGATCGATCATATACGAACATTGTCTTCTGTGTCATCTAAAAATCCTGGCGTGGTGGTGGAGAAATGTTTCCTTGACGCTAGTCTTGGCGATTTGTTAGGAAGCAGGGGTTGACATAGCGGACAAGTCCAAGGAACCGTTCTTTGAGATGAACCGAATCCTAGAGGCGTTGAAGAATGGAGATCTCCAGCCTGCCCTCAGGTACAGACCAACCTGTATATAAGGGCCAACCTGTATATAAAGGCAACACGTGAGAAATGTCTCGAGTCTCCTTTAGAGACATCTGTCCATTTTATAAAGGTGGTTTTTGAGTATAACTGCTACCTAGGGAATGTGATAAACAGGTACTTTATTAACGGATATACGTTCAGTTGAGTTGTTTTTCCTTTATTTTGCTGCCGTCTCCCTCATTTTCCTACACTCTCCCTTATTTCTCTGCGAACTCTTTCATTTTCCTTTCGTCTCCCGACCAGTGAGTCGGTTGTCTAGTCGTGTTGGTAATGCGCGCTTACCAGTTCACCTGTTCTGCTGTCGTCCTGCAGCTGGGCGTACGACAACAGACAGCTGCTGAGAGACAACCACAGCTCGCTGCAGTTCAAGCTGCAGCGACTGCAGTTCATTCAGCTGCTGCGCGGGGGACCCGGCAAGCAGGCGGAGATGCTCGCGTACGCGCGAAACTTTGAGCCGTTCGCCACGCAGCACGAGAAAGGTGAGCGAGAGGAGAGAGTGATGTGTGTGGGTGTGTGTGTGTGTGTGAGAGAGAGAGAGAGAGAGAGAGAGAACAGAAAAGATGGTCGGTGGTGTTGTGGTTTTGTGTGTGTTGTGTGGTGTGGTGTGTGTGTGTGTGTGTGTGTGTGTGTGTGTGTGTGTGTGTGTGTGTGTGTGTGTGTGTGTGTGTGTGTTGTGTCGTGTGTGTGTGCGCGCGCGGCGAGCTTGGCGCTAGCGCGCGTTGCGTGTGTGTGTGTCAGCTGCTGTAGAGAGTAGAGATGGTGTGGTTTGTCGGTTGTGCGTGGTGTGCGTGTGTGTGCGTGCGTGCGTGCGTGGGCGTGCGTGTGAGAGTGAGAGGAGAGAAAGAGAGTGTGTGTGTGTGTGCGTGCGTGCGTTTGCGTGCGGTGCGTGCGTGCGTGCGTGCGTGCGTGCGTGCGTGCGTGCCGTGTCTGTGTGTGTGTGTGTGTGTTGTGTGTGTGAGAGAGAGAGAGAGAGAGAGAGAGAGAGAGAGAGATTGGTGTGGTTGTAGTTGTGTGTGTGTGCGTGCGTGGCGGTGCGTGCGTGCGTGCGTGCGTGCGTGCGTGCGTGCCGTCGCGTGAGTGTGTGAGAGAGAGAGAGATAGTGATGGTTTGTGGTTGAGTGTGTGCGTGCGTGCGTGCATGTGTGTGTGCGGGGGGGGCGTATAACCTGCGTGGGCGTATGCTATTGTGTGCTGAGTAGAGAGTGGTGGTTTGCTGGTTGTGTGTGTGTGTGCTTGCGTGCATGCATGTGTGTGTGTGAGAGAGAGTGGTGGTTTTGTGTTGTGTGTGTGTGTGTGCGTGCGATGCATGCTGGTGTGTGTGAGAAGAGAGTGGTGGTTTGTAGTTGTCGTTGTGTGTGTGCATGTGCTGGCGAAGGCTTGTGAGGAATGGATCCCGCGACGCGTGTAACACGTCTGTCGAAGCAGTGACCAGCGTTCGAAATTAGTGGCGACCTGGGAGGTGGCCCGAGGCCACCAAGTTTTTGCTTCGCACCCCTCTATGAAATTTTTAAACTGGGCCGTCCCTCCTGAACCGCGCGACGTTGTTCCACCTTAATAGTTACGCTGAAACAGTACTACGGTTATCGCCCACGCAGTTTGAGATACAACACTTAGGCGGCACTTGTGTATAATTGGGCAGCGCATTTCTTAATACGGCTCCGTTCCTGAACGTAGACCTGGTTATTGTGGGGAGTGGATGGCACGACTAGTGACACCTGACATGCCACGTAATGCCAAAGCTGTTAATTGAATCCGTCCACTTTTTCTTTTAATGTAGAAAGTGACTATTTTAAATTGGATATCTAGCACTTGTAACTTTGGCGGATTGGGCGGCAGCATTGATGCTATGCATGGGGTACCCAGGACTGGGGAGGAGAAAAAATATGAAGTAAAACGCTTTCCGAGAAGCTCCCACCGACAATTCCTAGAGCTTTGAAATTATATTATTTGGACCAACTCTATGTTACATAATGATCGTATCTGGTAAATGCAAATGGTTATATTTTATATACCATTTTGTTACTCACTGCTATGAATAAGCGGACGGCATCATCATTTTGTGTAGGACCAACACCGACTTTCTGAAGTTTGGTGGTCCTGCTTGTCCACTAGATCTTTCAGCCAAAATTCGAAACCCTGGCAGTGACTCGGTCACATGCACTTTGTGTTGTAGTTGTTTTGTTATTGTGTGTTGTTGTTTATCATTCAGAGAATTCAGCACTGATTGGGGAGTCTGCCTGTACGTGAAGCCCCAGTGGCGTTGGACAACTCGCCGTACGCTCACCTACTGAGCCGATCCCAGTGGGCGACATCTGTGACGTGTTTCACCAGGGATTGCTTGGCGCTCTGCTGGTCCTCTCCATAGAGAGCCCTGCTTACCCTCGGGTAGGTCGCCATGGCGTGGAGTAGAGTGAAAGGAGTGGTTGGAGAGTGAGAAAAGAGAGCGAGAGAGAGAGAGAGTGTGTGTCCAGAAGACTGGGAAAGTCGAGAGAAGTGAGAGAAAGAGAGAGGCATGGAGAGAAGGAGAGAAGAGAGCGACAGAGAGATATAGAGAGAGAGAGAGAGAATAGAGAGAGAGAGAGAGAGAAAGAGAGAGTCTCTAGAAAATGAAGCGAGAGAAAGAAAGAGAGAGGGAGGGATGCTTGCGCTCTGCTGGGTCGCATGCGTGGAGAGAGTGAGGGAGGGTGGGAGAGTGAGAGAGAGCAGGGGAGAGAGAGTAGAGAGAGTAGAGAGAGAGAGAGAGAGAGAGAGAGAGTGTCTCAAAGATGGAAAGCGAGAGAAAGTGAGAGAAATAGAGAGAGAGAGAGAGAGAGAGAAGAGAAGAGAGAGAGAGAGAGAGAAGAGAGAGAAGAGAGATAGAGAGACAGAGAGACCAGAGAGGAGAGAGAGAGAGACAGGAGAGAGACAGAGAGAGACAGAGAGAGACCAGAGAGAGAGAGAGGAGAGAAGAGAGAGAGAGAGAGAGGAGAGAGAGAGAGAGAGAGAGAGAGAGAGAGAGAGAAGAGAGAGAGAGAGGAGAGAGAGAGAGAGATCCTATCCCTACCTTTGGCAGATGGCTGTGGGAACTCCTCAGACAACTGCATGTAGCATCACGATAGCCTCAGCTTTACCCTGCTTTATAACCTGCTTTCCCTACGTCGTCTGTAAATGCAGAAGAGTGGTAGATGGCACCGAACGGGCGGTGTGGTGGCTGCAGGGTATCGTGGTGTATGTGTTGCGACGTGATTATGTGTTTCAGGCATCAAATGGCGGGATGCAAGGCGTTGCCAGCGCTGCGCTCAAATATTAAGGCAGGTGATGTTGCAGCGACAGTGTACAGATGTTGGTGGAGCAAACAAGGACGAGTAACCAGTGAGTGTCGTTATTACGATTCCTATATCCCCTCTCCTCTTCCTCTGTCTCTCACCTCTTCGCCCTCTCTCTATCTTCTGTCTCTCCTCTCTCCGTCCCTCTTCCTCCTCTTCCCCCCCCCCCCCTCTCTCTCGGCCCATTTCTCGCTCCTTCTTTCTCGAGGACCCCTTTTCCCTTTTCTACGCTGTTCCCCTCGGCTAACACAAAACTCTAGGGAAAAAAACCTCCTAACCGTCACCCCCCACCAACAAAAAAAACTCCAACAGAAACCCCCCCCAACCAGACCTACAAACTAAGACCCAAAAAACACAGAAAACCCAAAACAACCTAAAAAACCCAACCCTCACCAATACAAACAAAACAAACGAAAAACCGCCCTAACCGCTGGTCTCAAGCACTCCGTACTCACTCACGATCTTATTAATTTTTATCAATCTTTCCTCCTTCTCTGCGCTCTCTTTTTCACCCGTCTCAGTCTGTATCAGCACATCCGGATGCACTAACTAATTGAAAGCTCACATTCCATTGGTTTATTGTGATTTTTATAAACGGTGCACCCAAATACTCGTAAAAAAACACATATCAGAAAATTGAGTTATGTGACCAGCCGGATATGTACATAACGTAATGAAAGGTCGATTTATTGGTGACAAACCATGTTCGTTGATCTATTCTATTGTATACATACAAGGATAGATCGATATATATTATAATACTTATTTATCTATTTTTAGTGGGCACCGAAACGAGGGGGCTTAATTGCAATTATCTAAGGTAAAAAGTTTCTCGTCTTGTTGATTCTATGGCTGCTGTCTACTGTCGCTCTCAGATTAGGTGGAGGTGAATCTAGGAGCCGAGTATCCTCCACTCAATCTTTGCGTGTCCTCATCCTAACGTGCAAACGAAAGCACAGATAGGGCAACCCTCCGATGCGTCTTATCTGCGGCCACATCATCTCACAGAATGCCGCCTTAACAAGCCAGCGAATGGAAAACAAGTATGCTCCCTCCGGCTCATTGTCTCACTCATTGTCTAACAGTAGCGCAATAATCATCCTCTGTTATTTTTCTAGGCATTAGTTAGCCCTGTATGATATGATATCTCCTATCAACCTATATTTTCAACTAGCATCTGATGCTTGTGTAACACGTCATCTTTCTCTAAAACATCGTGTGTCGGTGTTGCGTTTGTCCTCGAGCAGGGTGAAATGTCCGTACTGCCCGCGGTCGAACAGGAGTCCCAGCAGATTGCCAAAGGTTGTCTACTTCTAAGCCAAGGTCATCACATTCTAAGCCAACGATGCATCAACATCTAAGCCAAAGTCAATTAAACAGGTCTGATCAGGTCATCTACTTCCCGGCAACAAAGAGGCAAGCAATCGACAGTGGGATAACAATGACACACCTCATACTCTTTGTTTGCCCACCTGCCGCCAAATGTACTGCTGCTGTATTGCGGGCAAAAAGCTAGAGAGGGTAGCAGTGAACAATGTGGCGTGGTTGGCATTTTCATTCGTGTTTGTGATTCTTTGTAAAGAGCAACCAAACGATTTTAGCTATTATCAATTTGTTTGATGTGGATTATTATACGGTATGTAAAAACATATCCCCTGTTATTAATCGGTTTAGCCAGCCTCAGCTTTGTAGGAGATTTTTAGTACTTTGTAAAATATGTCTGATTTTTTCCCTCGCAACCTCTCTCTCTCTGCTCTTCTCCTATCTCTCTCGTCCTCTCCTCTCTTTGTTTTGTCTCTGCACTCTTTCTCTGTCTCTCTTTCTTCTTTCACTCTCTCGGCTTTCCTCTATCTCCAGCCTTTCGCTCTCCACCTCTTCGTTCTATCTGCCTCTCTGCGTACCCACTGGTTTCTGTCAGCTCTTTCCCCATGACTGTCTTTCTCGCAATCTCCGCCTACTATGACACACATGAGTTAAACTGTCGTTATAATATTTCTATAGTGGACAGCGTCAACATACCGGGTTTTCTAAAATGCCGGGTTCTATCAAAGCCAATAATTTATAAGTAATTATTAGCTTGTTGGTTCTATTAAGATTCAGTCGATGATGGGAGCGTTTGGTTTGACTTGTGATGGTCCTTCTGAACGGCAATTTGCCGTTTTTGCAGGTCCCTACTATGGGCGGCTCGCACTACTATCAGAACGTCAACGCACGTAGTGGCGGTTTCACTTATGTGTTGGCATCGTATGCGTGAACGTATGGTTTGTTTGTTCGGCTGCGTGATGTACGCTGCGTGCGTGTGTGGCAAATAATATGTTTGGGCAAAATAGGTATGTTTGGCAAATTAATGAGGCTATTAAAGGCGATTGCTGCTATACGAAATCAGTGGAAACAGAAACGGTCGTGTGGGCGACTGTGTGTGTAACGGTATATCGTGTAAAATACGTTGATTAATTTCAATAAACTAGGTTTCAACTGAGTGGTTGACGACGGCGAGTGAATACTTCATGATTGCCGTGCCTGTTGGTTAGGCAGATAGACCAACGCATCGTAGTGGCGTGGCTGTCCGTGTATGCATGCTGATATTTTGTATTGTTTTATCAAATATCTATGTACTTACGGCCTGTACGGACTACAAACCGGACACAAGCACGCGATGCAAACGCACAACGCACGTACTTTCATAGGCCGCATATGAAGAGAAGGTTTTGAGGGATCGAGGGAGGAAGAGAGGAAAGGAACAGACATTTAGGGCGATTATGATTCTGGTGTATTAAAGGGCTTAGTTCGATGTGAGGTTAATTGATATATTGCCTCTCCGCCGCCCCCGATTGGCATCATTCAGTACGCACGTTTGACACAAGACACACCGAGACAGTTCTGTTTTTCATTACCGCCTCATCGTGAGGAAATGAACTACGTCCACGCAATTTTCTATGGTAAAATTTGTAAAATGTTTGTTGTCACTTTTTTTTACATTAAAATTAAGCAACTAACTGGGACTAAACGTATCGTCAATTCAAAATCGCAATAAAAACCTAGGCGATTTATAGTAGTATTCCTATACCGTGGTAACGTTAATTGTTGGCTATGGTGGCTCTTTGTATGAGGTGACGAAGTGTATGTTCACATCGAACAATATACGTAAAATAAGAAGTATAAATGCAGCAATTTAAACGGCATAAAAAAGTGAAAGCGATTACTTATATTTTGTGGAAAAGTGGATTTTTTTTTTTATTACTATTTACGTTTGACGTAATCGGTAGGATTCTCGCTGTTCTCTTTATAAACATATAGGATGTGCTCTCTCACAAGTGTTCATAAAGGATAAGCCTCAGGACGCGCAAAGAATCGACGCGCGTCACAGAAAGAAATGAGACAAAACTTGATACATGATGCAGTCAAAGCTCGTTCTAAGTAGCACACGCCGTATAAGGGTCATCCTGTCGCCTGTATTTTAATTACAGGGACCTGCATGGAGTTATTATATGTCTTATGAAGCCTACTCACATACTGGCTCAGGTGTAGTGGCCAGGTATATATAAACGTGCGGCAAGATAATGTGGCCCTTGATGCGTTCACACATCTGTCTTAAACTACAAGTCAAACATCTGTTACTGTGTCGCGTCATCATGCCTCACTACGCAGGAGTTGGTCTGACGTTACCAACTAAATCGTACTTGACATTTGGCTTTTTATCGTATGATTAGACATAATTAATTATATAAATAAATTATCGTATTAAAAGAACATAATACATTTATTTGTATAAATCGTAATTGACATTGACTTAACGTTATATAACCACTTTTTAGCACGTCTTGATGGTATAGGTGACCATTGGCTCTATCGTATGCATCACAAAGCTGATTTCCAACCGATTTAGAAACGCACGAATGGCTTGATGTCTAGTCTATAATATAACGAATGTTGGGCATCTGCTTGCCACACCTCCTCAGCACTAATGGGCAGCAGTCGCGCTGTTACTTACCAGCGCGACGACCGTCATTCCTAGACGGGCTAGTACCGCTTTCACAGCCTTTTTTTTTCTCATCTCACAATATCCCGCCGGCACTCGTTCGATGAGCTTACCTTTATCTTCTGCGAAAACACCAATAGAGGGAATGAGTGGATGTTTTCAATTCCCACTTTAAGTTTGACATGGCTTACTACTTGAACATGAATATGTTGACGAACTATTTCCAGACAGTTTTTTCGGTGATGATGAGTCATCGGTGACATTGTGGATTGCACATGAAAAGCTAGAGCTAACTTCAGGAAGTAGGAGCCGATCACACTCTTAGGTTAACCGAGTGGCAATCAAATAGCCGAAATGACGTCTATGCGCATTTGCCGCAACCCATATACGTACATACTTTTCTTTTAACTTTTCGTTGTTTCTACGTTTAGAAATCTTTTCTTCATAGTCCTGTGTTTCCGATCTAATAAGTGCTTTTGCTACAACGAGAGCTTGTCGAAAAGACTCGGAGGAACCTCAGTAATACAGCAAACTCCGGCCTTTCGCACTACATAATTACCAGTATTCGTCGGAGCGCCACATACGTGTTTCGGACTACGTGGTAATGAGTAGTCAGCAGGCATCGGTCAAGTTCGCACCTGTTGGGCTGGTTTGCCCGACACGGTGATAGATGGTGTGATATCTAACGATAGTGGAAGTTATTGTACGCTTTGCCTGCGACTATACGAAATTGAACTGCGCTACAAACCCTTTATTCGCATTCCACTACCGCGAGTGTCTAGAGAATGTTCAGTGGAATATGTGCACTTTTTCATTACCTTGGCTAGCAGCTTTTGCATAATATTTTTCACGGAATTGTTCCTTGAGATTGGACCGCGAAGAGATGCTTTGAAATTCGTTACAATTCCTTAACTCGAACAACGCCAGGTTTTTCTGTTTTTTCAATTAACAACGTTACCAGTAAATTTTTCTAAATTCATACATAAAAGTCGTAACTCGTCCGGCAAACCAGCTTTGGTAAGCCGTTTAGCCGTACTACGCAACAAGGACGGGCTAACAGCGAAATCTGGAGCTGTTTTGCAGAAACCTCCTCGGCAACACGTCGCTCTATTTAACTCGAGCACGGCTAACGCGTATCTGTGCGCATTCCTCAGGATGGCTCGAAACCTGCCGATACCCTTCCAAGTTCCCAACATCCGTCAGTGAGCACACGCTGCTAACCTGTCCCCGGTGACGTCACATACGTTTACGCGTGACGCCATACTCTGCCACGTCACGCACAGTTAACACAGTCATCCGTAGCTCGTTAAAATAGGCGATACCGACAGCAGGTCGCGGCGGCGGCTTCCGGAAGC